TCTATGGTGGCCGCCTTTCTTCTTAGCGTGCGCACCGGTCTGGATCTTTCTTCAACATGATGCCTTGCCTCGACTGTTCTGACAGCTTGGTTCGCGATGTCGGGGAAGTCGAGCGGAAGGAGGTGAAGCGCGAGTACGCGAATCCTTTTCTGTAAATGAAGCACGGCAAGTTTCTTCGTGCCTTCATCGAGGTCATCACGATTTGGCTACGTCTTCCAGCAGCTTCGTGGTACGGATAATGCAGACAGCAAGGGAAGTCCTGCACCAAGTCTGGCATCTGCTCGCCAAGGATGTCGTCGATCACTTGGGAGTACATAGGGGTGAGAATAGCGGTCTCGCTGAACGCGTTGTTCTCGATCGTCTTGAGGATTCTTCCGTAGTCGGAGGTCCTTAAGTGCAATGCGAATAGTTTCTTCTTCAATAGAGGTCGTCATGATGTTGGGAGGTTCTGGGGAAGGATGTTCTTGGGAGAGGCCTTATATGGCGTCCAGGTCGTTTCCAAGCTCCGCTTGATTTCTAGACTTATCTTTTGTTAATGTCTTCTATCGCTTATCTATCCAGCCATTGAGGCTAAGATCTTCTCGTTTGCGGGACACGAGGTGCAGTTCTTCACTATCAGAGGGTAAGTGCCGTGATAGGTACGATCTTCATTAATCCTTTGTTTATGATCAGGATCAAGGTTCGTCTTCATCAGAGGGTGGTAATCATTGCCATAATGGAGGGTGCGTTCCGTTATCTCTTGTTGATATGGTCGGCGGATCTAGAGGGTTCCGAGGGCTTGCAGGAGTTTCCGAGGAGTTCGTCTCATGATAGTTTTACCTCATTCCGGAGGATCGTCTTCTTATCTTTGTTGATCAGAGTCGAAGTCGTTCTAGAGGATTCCATGGGTAGGGGTTCGCCTCGTGATAGTTTAGCCTCGTTCCGGAGGATCGTCTTCTTCATCTTTTGTTGAGATCTTTCGGATCTATCTGGATGTCGAAGGGAGGTTCTGTGGATAAGAGATCCGCGGGCTTGCAGGAGTTTCCGAGGGTTCGTTCTGTCTCCGGTTCATCTTCTTTTAACCTTTTGTTGATATAATCTTCATTGGGTGAGGGAAGGTGCGGTGTCCGTGGGTAGGTGCCAAGGCTTGCAGGAGTTTCTTGGGGTCGTCTCCCGAGGAAGGGTCTTCTTAATCTTGTTGATTGAATCTTCATTGATTGTCGAAGGATCGTGGATAAGGGGTTCCAGGGCTGTGGGGGCCGTTCGGGGAGTTCGTCCTTTCTCCTAGTTTTACGTCTTCTCGGACGATCATAGTTTTTAGGTCGTTGCGGACCGATGCGCAGTTTAAGGCCATGCCGGGCCGTCCGTAGTTTACCCTCGTTGCGGAGCATCGTGCAGTTTAAGGCCGTGCCGGGCCTTTGTCGAAGTCGTCATCAAGATCATCAGAGAAGTAGTCGGGAATGGTATTCGTGGTGGGGGGTGTCGTGCGTGAAACGAGAATAAATCAGGGATTTTACCCCCTCAATAAGCCGTTTAGTCTACCATGACTAATCTTCAGTCTAAAAATTGAGGCCGTCGTCAGGGCCTTCGTATTCGATTTCGTTTCCTTCGTCATCAACCATGCGCCAGGAGTGCGTCGATGGTTCTTCTAAATCCAACCATATATTTTCAATGGGATTGGAAGCAGGGTGTGGCGCGTAGAGCGCCCGAGGTTCGGAAGCGAGGTGTATTGGTTCTTCGCTTCGGCCATCATTAGATTCCATATCTGTGAAGCGGATAAATTGCGGTCCGACTTCTTCTTCTTCCTTCTTTATAAGACGAGCAAACTCGTCAGGGTCATTTTCTCTCAGATCCTTCAGGCGATGGGCCTCGTTTATAAGACGAACACGTTCTAAGAACATGTCGAAGTCTGAGTCGGAAGATGGTTCGTGGGCGGGTTCCCGGTGTTGCATCATTGCATCGATGTTATCAGCGGGGATCTCCGCGGAAGGCATGGAGAGGTTCAGGGAATTCGGGATGGGGTTTTCATCGGCTGTGTCGGTATCATCAGCCGGGCTTTCGTAAAACCTGAGTTTCTTGGCTGCAGGTGGTTCTGCCGTTGACACGGCTCTTCCTTTTCCGAGAACGGAGATCGGTTCTCCGGAAAATACGAATTTAGGGGTCTGAGTTGTTTCTGGTTCAGAGGCCAGTCTGGGTGCCTTCGGATAGGCGGTTCTTCTGTCATAACTGCACGTCCTTTTCCGAGGACTGATGCAGGCTCCGCCGAGAACTGATAGGGTCCAGGAGTCTCTTCTTTCATCGGCTGAACAGCCGGTCCGATCTTCTTTGCGGGTGCATCGGGGATGATATAGTCCGTGATTACCGCAGGTCTTACGACCTTCTTCTGAGTTGTCTCCGGATCAGTGGCCGGTCTCTTCTGCTCAAATCGCTTTGCTGCGAGGTCAATACGAGGCAGCGAATCTTTCTTTCACGATTTTAGTAGATCGCTGCTGTGGGGATAGGGAGTTTCACGGATGGCGGGTTTCCGTGCGGTTCCTTCATTGAACCGGTACGATCTTCGTCGTTGGTGCCAAGCTCATAGAAGCGAGGCCACTGGAGAAGGCGCGGGGAGTGGTCGGGGAAACGGACCTTTCCTTTTCTGTGCGCCCCTCTTTTCTTCTTTCTGGAAGAGAGGCGTCTTGCCGTTCTTCTTCCGGTCGGAGTCAATCTCCTTTTCTTTCTTTCGGGAATCTACGGTGCTCTTGAGAGTCACCGTGCCGTTCGTCCAGTTGATGGTGGGGTTGTGGCTGATAAGCCAGGTTGTCCGAGCATGAGCTTCTCTTTCGGAGTAAGCTCAGCAAGGTAGAACCTTTCGGTGCATACCCGTTCGTCGATCTGGAAGGAGAGGGTACAATACCTCTCTATCGGCTTCTTTCCGAAGCTGGATCCGTCAGCGTTAGAGAGCGTGAAAGGCTTCTCTAGCTGGTGCGACGAGATTCTGTGCGTCGTGCAGAAGTCCTTGTTGACAAAGGACTGGCACGCCCCTGAGTCGACGACCATGGATGTCGCGATGGGAGTGTTTCTCGTTCTGGTCATTAGGGTAGGCATTTCACCCGTAGTTCGTTCTTCTTAACTCCGGTTTCTTTGATAGATTTCAACCGGAGGTCTTCTTCGATCATCTTTCTCCGCGGGGTTCTGGGCCATTGAGGGCAAGCCGCGGCTTTGTGGCCAATGACGTGGCATACAAAGCATCTTTTCTCGTTTAGGAAGATACGAGTTTCCTTTTCCCGTAAGGTGGGAAGCAGCCAGGGTGTTTCGGGAAGTTGCCATATTGGAGATGGTTATCTTCTGATCTTCGTAGTGTTCCGAGCAGGAAGTCTTCTACTGTGACAGCGGTTCTTATATTCTTGCGACTGGTCAGGCCGGTACGTTTCGGGGGTTCTCTACAGATCTTCGGTAGCGTTGAAGATAGGTACGATCAGGGATCTGGCGTCACAGATGGGTGACGTGCGAGTTGAACTTTAATCTTTTGTTACGACAAGCGGTCGTGTGCGACTAGGATGATCTAAACAGCGACAACCACGACAGTGGTACCGAGTGCTGAGAGTCGTCGGCCTTTACAAACAAGCAAAGGTTGCGTACTCGAACGTAGCTCGTGGTGGTTAACGAGGGGTTACGCTGAGATGATAGCAGAGGTTACAGACAGTGAGAGGCGTCACTGAAGGTACGAGTCGATGTCGAGCAGGTAGCTTTAGCGGGACAAGGAGTTCAAGGGAAAACCTAGTTGATTAGACTAGTTTCTGGGTAGTACCTAGTAAGATTAAAGTAAGGAACATCTACTTTAATCTTCGACCTTATATAAGGCTACTCTATCGTGTCTAAGCTCAGCCTAAAGCTGGGTTCTAATATGCTTATCTACATGAGTCAGAGATAGCGTCCATGAGGCGGGCTTCTATCGTAGATAGCGTCCATGCGGTACGCTTCCATCAGAGATAGGATCCACGTGGTATCCTTCTATCAGTACATGAGGCAACACGAGGCTTGCCTTCTATCTTGATAACATAAATAGGTCTTCTAGACCTATGTCGTCATGTGTCGTCACGTGCGGTCCAGACCGCTTATCTAAGCCGGCAGTTTGCCGCTTATCGTCTCTCATCTATCATCATCTATCGTCGTCTATCGAGCTGGTGAGACTCCGGTGTCGTCTATCGTCTATAGCCGTGCGGGTGGCAGAGGGCTGTCTGCTGGCGGGGGACTCGTGCCATGTTACTGTAACAAAGGTACGCCGGAGTACTTGATCTTGAAAGTATCTGAAACTTCCACAAGAGTACGGCAGTCAATGGAGCGCAGAAAATCTTACTGCCTTCTACAAATCGTTCACAGTGCCGCCGTCCGCCGTCATCATGTCCACTACCAAGAAACATGCCCGTAACATCGTTCCATTTGGATACAGTCTTCAGCCCTCAATCTGGTCGGAGGATTACGCACCAGAATACCAGACTGAAACAGTAAAAGACCTTATTGACAACCCTTCATTCCCTTTCAAATTCATATTCGGGAATAACTCGAATCACCAAACTCACAAGTTATACCCATTCGAACATCGCGTCATATTGACCGTCGTTCTAAACACCATGTTGACGCTCGGCTTTGTACCTTACATCTCAGACTTCGATGCTTTGTTTTGTACAGCTGCAGCGGCCGTAGAGTGTGCTCTACAGGAGCTAGCAAGCGCGCAGTTAGAAGTGTTCATTGACTTTGGAGTATCTAATTCCAAACCCCGGTACACCTTGTTCATGGAATACATTCGAGACCACATCGAAACTGACCCCGAATTATCGACGCGGTGGAAGGAGTACAAGGACCGGGTCCATGCCAGATTGGTAGAGATATCTAAGTACTGTGTTTGATTTTCCTACGTTCAATTTAGCGTCAGTATACAATTTGACCCGCGGCTTTCCATTGTACTAATACTATCATGTAACCCCTCAGTGAATTGCAATCTCTTACATAATCATAGACGTTGTTTGGCAAGACCTTCAGAAGCAAACAAATGAGTCAGTCACCTAGCTCACTGATTTTCTCTGCGGCATTCCGCACATCAGACAGGTTACAAAATCAAGGACTCATGCTTTCTTTGATGTTGTTGAACCAGGTACGTATCCAAAGGTTGGCGATTTAATTGTATAACAACTAACTTGTGTATTTGGCGACAGCCGCATCATGATTGTGCTGACTTCCCACGATTTCCTGAATTTGAACATCATGATGCCACGGCGGCCTCGCTCAATGGTGTCACATTTGTTCCACAGGCATGAACAGATAAGAGAGAGTAGTTGAAACTTTATGACAAGGAGTTTAGCCTGCATGGCTGATGCAAGGTGAGTTTCTGCTTATTCAAGTTTTGTCTTTGGCTCTGACTCGGAGAAACAGAAGGGTGGAAACCTGAGATCGATTATCATACTTGGTGGAAAATATCCAAACATCGTGCCATCAAAGATTCGCGGCCTCTTACTGCTCGACGTTAGTGTAACGATTTTTCTCGAAATTCTGTGTAAGTGATTTGATCTCGCAGTTTGGAGCCGCGTCCGCCCAATTCTCAGGAAACATATGTTGGAAATGCGAAACATCCGCATGGAAGAAACACTTTATATTTTCGACGGGGGATTTTCCTCCAGGCATGGATCTTGCGCGATCCAAACCATTCGACGACATCATCAAATCACCTGCCCATGTCGTAGTAGAGCGTGATACCTTTTTACCGGCTATCTTCCTAATCTGGTGAGGAACTGGCGGAGACAGGTCGATCAACAATTTGCTGCAATCATCACGAATGGGTATCCAAAGGAATTTGTACCAGCTGGAGACATCCGCCAACTTGTAACCGGTGTCTTTGTCTGCAACGCATGCGAACAGCTCTTCTTCTGGACCAATGCTGTTGCGCACAAGTGCAGCCTTGACTTTCCAAGGGGTCCAAGCAAACAAAAGAACGATTCTTTTAAGGAACAGGTGACCCGCATCGAGTATTTTTCGCTCGGTTCTTCTCCATGGTCTCCGAAGTTCAGGTCCACTACAGCACTAGCCATTCATGTCATCCATAGTTGCTGTCAGGATCCTCGGACCGCTACGCTTGCACACATGGACGATTTCCGTCATGCAATCTCTCTTGACGAACGTCGTGTGTATGTGTCTCAGATTCCTTTTCAATAACTCGTCATCTGATGTGCAATTCTCAGGCGCTTCAAGCCTGGTCTTTGGACACGCCCGACTGAGGCTCACAAGAATTGTGGTGTTAAATCCCATCACATGCCTCGCAGCATCGGGGGGCATCTCCCGAGCCAGCCGAAACTCGAAATTTTAGGCAGCCCAGAGAGGTGTACGTCTATTCCTTACTCATAACCCTTCTTTGCTGATACGTTCATCTCAGCATCGCACACCTCCCAGAAGCCATTCTGGCCGATTTCGCGCCCGTGGTGATGGGCGCATACCACCCCCTTTTGCTTCTAGTAACAACCCCCTCATACGGCTTCAACGCGCGCTTCAGCCCCCCAGGGTTCACAAACACCACCACCGGCTTCCCTTTACGCAACAATCGAGATCAAGCTTCTGAAGGTAGCAAGTCACGACTGCAATCACAGCTCCTATCTGGGAGATACCGATGCCTCCTTTGTCGACGAAGTGTAGGATGTTGAAAGCCTAATTAATCATAATTGACCTAGTGCCCAAACATCATTGCTTGGCTGTGCAGTGCTAGTCAAAGCATGCATTGAAATCGTCGCTTGCTAGACCACTTACAATCGGCCTCAATAAAACTTATAGGACGCAGGAGGTGAGCATCAAGTGCATTTTCTGACATTCCATTCTTTACCCGTTTCAAGGTGCTGTCTGACCATCAATACTCCGAGTCTGCCCAAGTTGTCCTCCATGCGAACGTCTGGCAGTCTCGTCTTTGCTACTCGTCCAACGCTGGGAGCCAGTTCTTCTGATAACATAGAAAATTGTGTTCTGTCACTGTTGCTGGCGTCCACCACCATCAATATTTGCATCTGGTTGGTCTCCAGGTAGTACTGGACGGCTGCGCAGCCGTAGGTCCTGATCAACTTGGCCAATGTTTCCAATTCGATAATTATGTCTGCCCTCCAACCCAACGGCTGTCCTCCTCCACCCGGTGACGGTTTGCACAGTGCGGACAACCTTTATATGCATGGTATATGGTAAAAGTACATTGAATATATCCAGTCTTGGTTCGGTCCCGTTCGTTCTCCCCACCCGTTCGTTCTCTCCCGACCCGTTCGTTCTCAACATATTCGTAAGTTTTGAATTTTTGTGATATATATGTGGCTTACCTCAACGCTAACGCGCACCTCTTAGTCCCAGCAAATACTCCAACTCCCTCATCTCCATCTCGAACACCCTGCGCTCCCTTGCTATCCATAAGACCATCATCGCGCGCACCTCATCTGGCCAGGCCGGAGGCAGGGGATAGGGCGGAATCGGTAAGGCGGGCTCATAGAGCTCTTGACGCACGCGCATTCGCGCGGCGGCCCATCTGACATATAGCATTTCCTTCGACAAGATCAACGCCGTAACTCGCGCGGTCGACTCACTCACCAGTTGCCCCACAGTCAGCGTGAACACCACCTCTCGCGGCCTTGGAGTGTGTTGGAGTAGGTGCTGAGGAATCTGCAGATGAGTCTGTGAGCAGTCCGAATGTTAGAAAATAGGTAGCGCACTTGGTTATTTTGATCTCCTCCTGCATCTCGGTTGTCGCCTCCTCCGTTCGCATTTATGTAGTTATTCATAGCGCTAGAATCGCACAAATGAAAACAACTACAGAGTGAATCGATAGTACTTACAAGTTCGTCCTTGATTATCGGGTATGAGAGAACTGTCCCGATTTGGACAAGGTATGCGTTCCCGGCATTTTCCGGGGCGCGCCACATCTGAGTCAGTGCATGTATCCGAGTCGTATGTACTAGCTAGTAACCTAGTAAGCTATATATTTCTTTGATATTTCTGTCGCGGTTTTCGTTGATTTTAAATGTATATTATTTAAATTTATCGAAAGTAAGTGTTAGTATATTTGCCGACGGTTGTTTGTTCATGTTGAATCCTAAAGCTTCGGCTAGGACCGTGACGCACGATCGTCTCCCGATATCATGTGTTCTTTATTCCTCCTGCCCTCACTCATAATCCCGAAGTCTGGCGTGGCTGCATCAAATTCACCTTCACCACTCCCTCGCTATTCTTGGTGGAGAGTCTTTTACGCCAACCAAGGGTGGAATTATTAATATTATTGATACCAGTACGTGACTACTCTCCTGCACCAATGCCACTGCTGAATCTTGCTCAGAGCGCATCAAATACCCTGATTCAAGCGCAAGGCCACCAGCCAACAAGGTTAATCGAAAATCATCTACTACACCCTCACCTCCACCAGGGCCACCCGCACCAGGAAGCGCTGTACCTAATGGTACCCGTGCCACGAGGCACAATCCTCTGAGGCCAGCAACCGTGCTGATGCCTTGGAGGAGACGTACCACCGTATTGTTCGTGAACGCTCGGAAATTCGCGACCGTTACGTGGAAGTCGAGGCCACTCTTCGAGTCTCGACACTGCAAGCTGTATGGCTCTGAAGAGGAGCAACGCGCTCGTGAGCAGATCACTCAGCTAGAAACAGAGAACTACGCGGTACCTTGAGACTCGCATGGCCGAGTTGGAACAAGCGAAGAGCAGGCTTGCAGAGGTTGAGAATGTGTGGGTCTTTGCTCACGAAGACACTGGTGCGTTTCACGCGCTCACCACTGGCAGTCACGGTCTTGGCGAACTTCTCGATTCGCATCGTGAACTTATTGGCAGACGAAGACCGATTAACGAGAGGACATGTGGAGAAAATAGAGGCTATGGATGTGGAAGCTACCTCTCTTCGGAAGATGCTGAAGGAGGCCCCACAGCGGCAGCTGGAGTTCCGACGCGTCCGCGATGTCGACGATTTCTCGAGCAGGATCCATGTCTGCTCAGCTACGTTCTCCTGATGTCATGTCCGGTTTGCGCAGTGGAACGGCTTCACAGACGGTCAGCGTTGCCGCTTCGGACTGTTCTCAAGACGAGCGGAAGTATACAGACGATAAGAGCAAGCGTGCACTTTGAGGAATCGCAACTCCGAGAGGAGACAAGGCGCGTTCGAGATGCTCATGCATTCTATTTAAAATACTATCATATTTTACACCTGAAGAATGATGCATGAGAACACTCAGCAAGGGGGACCGCTTTACCCTACATTATGATTTAGGCTGCCATGTTGCAACGCTGCAATATTGTCATGAACCCCCATGATCAACGAGATTAGATGAGCAATACTAATGTCGCTTTCCACAAGAAAGCCTTGCATAGCCGTGTGATGCCCAAAAAATTAGAGAACACTTAGCAAGGGGGACACGCTTTTCCCTATGTAGGCTACAACATGATTTAGGCTGCCATGGTGCAATGCTGCAATATTGTCACGGGCTTCGATGACCATTGAGATTAGATGATCAATACTAATGTCGCTTTCCACAAGAAAGCCTTGCATAGCCGTGTGATGCCAAAAAAAATAGAGAACACTTAGCAAGGGGGACACGCTTTTCCCTATGTAGGCTACAACATGATTTAGGCTGCCATGGTGCAATGCTGCAATATTGTCACAAGCTTCGATGACCATCGAGATTAGATGATCAATACTAACGTCCCTTTCCTTGAGAAAGCCTTGCATAGCCTTGTGATGCAAAAATAGTTGTGATAAAATTAGAACGCACAAAGTAGTTAGAACAAATATACTATTACTCCTCGCTGTCTACAAAGGAGAAATGTCACAGCATTGTCATGGGCCGTGCACGTTAAGCTGGATTTGCGGGCATCCATGGGTTTGTATGTACAACTCTAATAGTTCATAGTATAAAAGATGATATGTGGCGAGAACAGATTTGCGACGCAGTATACTTCCCACGGCTACAAAATCAAGGACTCATGCTTTCTCTGATGATAGAACGACATTTGAAGTTCGTATCCGCGGGGTGCTTCTTTCCCGGAGATGTTTTCAAATTTCGATCCAGAATTTCTTTCTGTAGCTGCGCGGCCGAACAACATCTCTTCATCCCCAACTATCAATTTGTCCTCATTAAAATCCCTCAATCCTCTTCATCGCCACATTAGCGCAATCAATGCTACAAGGCTTTTCCATCTCTTCACTGAGGACAAACAATTGCCAGTGCATCTTGCCAGGACTCTTGCGGGCCTGTTATCTGCGCAGCCAGGTTCTGTTATCTGCGGTTATCAGGGCTCTCCAGCCGTTTACTCATTGAACCTGTCTATTTCGAAACATGTCACTCGACACCGACAGGCGTCCAAGTCTCAGCGAGGGGATATGTTGGCGCTGTTGCACCTTCGGCACCTCATTGTACTCGTCAAGGCATGTTATCTTGCAGTTCATAGTAGTCACATGTACTGACTCCTACCTGGACTTTATGCTAGTCTACATAGTCTTGTTCGACTCTTGAGTGTAACCCGTCTGACTTGACGAGTTTCCATACATATGGATTTTCTTCAAGGACCATCATGGTCGTCTAAATCGATCGAGCGCCGATGGTTTGCGCGCCTCCATCGAACCATTCTCGATAGCCTTTGCTACGCGCTTTTCCTCCCGCTGCTTCTCTAATTTTGCACGAATAGCAACCTATATTTGTAGAGCGCACGAACATGAGCACATAATTAATGAATGGAGCGATTGACTGAGGCTCACCGCAGTGGGATCAATGACATTTTTGCGTTGCTTCCGGAGGTATCTGGATTTTGAATATGATGAGTGATAGGCTGCAGTGTCTTATACGGAATACATGCCTTTTGACACTCTTTCCTTTACCGCGCATTTTCCGCTTCTCCTTCTCCATTCGTGACTGTGGTTTAGCATTCTTGTCGCCGTCGCCGTCAGCAACGTCCTCGTCGTCATCATCAACGAGTTCCGTTTCATCTGCTTTGCCCTGGACACGGAGTCGCTCGAGCCGAGGAAGACGAGCGAAGGGAATATCATGCGTGTCATTGACAGCAGTCGTTAATTTTGTTGGCGGTGCAAGAGCTCCGACGAAATCTGGGTCGAGTGTGATCATGTCCGGTTGAATCTAGGTTGATGGATAGTCCATATCAGTGTCACAGCAATGATCTAGACGTTAAGTATACCTTGTCCAATAGACCTTTGACTTCCCTTTCCCTTCTTGCCTTCTTGTTCTCGAATGGATCGGCTTCCATACTATCGAAGTTTGGTTCGCCAACTCCAGGTACAAGAATGCTCGACAAACCAGCATTGTGTCCGATCGTAAGGATGTCTTGAAAAGGGCAAAATCTCACCGAAGTAAGCGGTCGGTGTGGTATTGGGTGTGTGAGGTAAAGAGGTGGCGGTGCTTTAGGTGCATGCGAGGTCTGTATTGATAGTTTTGTATACACCTGGCGCGCAATGGATTAGAACCGGCACGGGCAAGAGAGCAGTAACTCACATTAACACTTCCACCTACAGCGACACTTAACGCACCCCTTGCACTCCATTCCAGCTCGGCGCCGCCACCTCTTGTCGTCCATTCCCGCACAGTGCCCTTCCAATTTCGGCAGTCCCAGACTTTTACAACACCATCCTGACCTGATGTCGCCATATAGCGCCCACCAGAACTCGGATCAACGCTCAGCCCCACAACTGGACCGAAATGTGCTAGGATTTGTACAGCAGGATGAGGAATATTTGGCGTCCAGAGGGTAACAACGCCATTGGAGTGACCGAGGTGTAGCACCGCGTTGTGTTTGTTTTGTGCGAGTGTATGACATGCCCCGAGCTTGGTTCGATGCTCGGCAACGATGTGACCTGTGGAAGTGTCTTGATATTTTAGAAATCCGTTGTTTCCCTAATGTCGATTGAGTTGGCACAAGGTGTCATTGAGTTGGAATAACTGACCACACTAGCGAGCAACCAGTGATATGGAAGAAATTCGAGTCGCGTGGGTTCAATGTGAGCTTTTAGTCGATGTAGCTCGACACCATCACGGTCGTATATAAATACATATTTTTTTTGTGCGACCGCGAAGAATGACTGGTCCTGCAAAAATCTTTATTGAACGATTGAGAGTTGTTACATGCAAGTAACAAGTGACGTACGTGATATCGCGACATGTTTCCTGCAGCTGAAGCTCAGCATGCATGGCTCCCGTTTGCCAGTCAAAGGTCGCGACATGTCCCATGTTGCCAACAATGGCAAGATGTCTACCATTCCTCGAGTATCTCGAGCGATATGGACCACCATCCAACTTCAGCTCCCGTCGTCCCTTGGCAGCCTCCTGACTAGCACTTTGCACGATATCATCCTGGCCTATTCTCCAAGTTCGTTCCAGCTCGGTCTCCACCTGCATTTTCCCTGCCTCGTTCGTCAGCAACAGTTCAGCATCTTCGACAAGTGCTTTTGAACGCGCAGCATGTGCTGCCTGCCGGTTTAGTTTTGTTCTTAGCTTGAGGTCCTTGACGTGCTTATGCTTTGGCACATTGTCTGGTGGTGGAGAGGTAGGTCGAAGGGATTTCGGCAGGGTAGTATTTTGTGCCTTGACAAACAAGGAATCTACAGAAGACGCCATTCATACGCCCTTGCCTGGTGACCGATTGATCACTAGTACTGCTAGAAAGTGATTTGATAAAACTGCACAAGGACATGTAACTCAGCTGACTAAGCTGAACACACTAAGGTCTTCAAATCCAAGTGCATCTTACCCTTACACATCGCCGCTCCAGCGAAACCCTGCACTGCTGAAGCATATTTAATGTAGGGCATTATGACGATTTTGTTGTCGGTTTAATGTTGAATTTACAGGCCTCCCAAAGGTACAACCAGGAAGAAGGCTGCGAACGATGGTTCCACCACTCATACGCCTGTTCGTGCCATTTTATCGCTCGATTCCCTCGCTCAATGAGGAGTATTAGACACTCTCCGAGCAGCTGTCATACCTGCACAGCCCTCGTCCATTCAAGAATCCTAATTACACCAAAAATACGAATCGTCGAACCAAGAACCTGAAAACCGTTCTAGGTCAGGAAAGGGAGAAAGAACGCGTCGAAAGGGAGAGGCGGAGACAAGAGAGAGATAGTCAGGCGATGGATATTGATGAAGTTAAGAAAGAGCTTGTTGAGGTGAACGAGGAAATCTCAACTTGTGAGTTGATCACGGGTTTTCCACTCGGCGAAACTGATTCTTTTAGATCTATCGATAGAAGCACCACCATCTGTTCTGCCACAGAGACACTACTGCGATATTACAGGGCTGGAGGTTAGTGTTCATCTATTTTGCGAGGAAGGATATCGTGTCGATATCAAATCACTAGGCACCGTACACCGATCCTCGGACTGGACTGAGGTATCATGACAAGAGCGTTTATGAACTTATTAAGAACCTTGTAAGAAGTTACTATCTCCCGTTCAAACTTGATTCAAATCGTTTTGCAGAGCCCAAGCGCGGCGAAGGACTATTTGGCTGCAAGGGGCGTAAATCCTGTCGTCCGATAGATAGCCGATCGTTTTTGATTGATATCCCTTCAAATGGATTCATCATCATTCCCACTGTGGCACCGACTGCTATGCAATAGTGGCTCTAGAAAATCGCATGCCCAGGTTTACATGGCTATCTTGGACGCACAATTGTTTGCTTGAGCTTGCATTGCGGCTCCATGGGATATATTAGAGGGTGGATGTGTGACAATGTAGACTTTTCTCCAAATGAATGACATGTCATTCCTCGGTAAGTAAATTATAATCATACAAGTCGGTGAGAGATTGTTTATCATCGTTTCGTAGTTGAACGCGCCTCATGAGGACCATCAATAAATTGACTACCACACACAGTATACCTAAGCATGGCTGGATGGCCGAGTGGTCTAAGGCGCTAGAATCAGGATCTAGTCCGAAAGGGCGCGTGTTCGAATCACGCTCCAGTCAAGAAATTTTGTTTTGCCGCTCCAGGAAGAGAATGTATGCA